ATACGGATCCGTATTCTTAGGTTAGGTACTTTGGGGTTTTGTTTGTTGCGTGGGGTAAGCTTGGGAAAATTGGTCTGGTTGGAATGATTTCTCCAGAAAATCTGTGGCTTCTGATTGGCTGATAATAGCCTATAGGGTATGTAGGTAAAGGGTAGGTAAAGGGTAGTACCGCCTAGACTGACAGCTGCCCGCAGCTGGCATCTCTGTAGCCTTCGTACGACTCCCTCCTATGTCTCCATGGCCCTCCTATACCTCCGTGGCCGTCTTATGCTTCTATGGCCTTCCCATGCATCCGTGGCATTCGTGTGGGCACTCGCAGGCACTCCATGGCCCTCCTATGCCTCCGTAGCCCCTTGGTGCGGGTGCGCGTCGCTGGGGTATGCTGCCTGGCCCTCCTGTGCTTATAGCTAAGTAGAACTTCAGGGCCACGCCACCCATGGGGGAGCCTCACTAAGTAGTATCCCTCAATCCCTTCCGAATTGGTCTTGCATACAATTCCATGACTCCAACTACAAGGGTTCAAAGCAATAGCGCTGCTGCAATAGAGTAGAAGCATCTGTAACGGAGTAGAAACCCAACATGATCCTGACAGTGCTGGACTATAAATTGGTTGTTGATTTACGTTTTGTCACAAGCACCGTGACACATGAAATGGAGAAAACATGGGACATACTGCTAACTGCTAAAACTATAACTCTACAAAGGCGAAAGGCTGTGGCCTGTATACTTCTCAACCTGCAACAAAGACACATGATAGGAAAACGCCAGAATGCTCTAAGGAAGCCTGGAGGACAGACACAACATGACTCAAAGGGATCTTTTTTGCGGTGCAGGGGAGATTGAAACATGCTGTGATCTATTCCTGTTTAATAGGTTCCCCAGGGTACGATGTGGAATACAATATTGACAAATCCGTAGTTGGCTTGGTATCACCGATCTGCACACAGCGTTATCTTGAGGTAGTGTAATAATCCATCACAAGTACAGTCTACAGATCATTTGGCAAGATCTACCTATGCAGCTATTTGAGGCGTCAGAAGGTTTGTTCGAACAATAACTATTGAATCAGTGATATGCATGTTGATGGGGGGACAAGGCTGTCACCCAGGCTACCACTACACAATGAGGCTGCGCCTCATTGACCCTCCTGTCATGGCACATCACATGTGTATAATTAGACAATTATGCCGCTTGGGCAATCGTCTGCCAGATTACCCAGCGACCAAGCACACAGTTCTTTGTGGGCCAGAACTGACAGCGCAGTACTTAGGCATGCGCTTCTGCTGCCCTACTGCAGTTCTCAATTTCCCTTCCTCAGGTTACTACTTTCGGTGGTGGTTCAGACAATACTGCTCAAAAAGACCACTGTCTCCCTTGTGACAGTAACAGGTCCACATGTTATCATGTACAACCCCGAGGCGATTGTGTGTCGAGGCTGTGGCCGTATGGATGTCACTAGGGCGACTTGTCCACACTGCCCTTGCAATTACTGCAGAGTAAAAGGTCATGTCATGGCAGAGTGTCCCACTATCCCCCCTTGTATTCACTGTGGCCAGAAAGGTCACAAATCAATATTCTGTCCACGTCTGAGAAGGGCCATAACTTTCAGCCCATCTTCTTCTAGCAAGCCTCAGATCCATATAGCCAAGCAGCAGGATTCGACGCCTCCGCCAATCAAAGGCAGCGAATCCGTCAAAGGGACTGAAAATCTGCCCCTCAACGTCTCAGTGCATTCCAGTCAACATGACTACGAAGAGTGGCAGCTCCTTGACGGCAACCTTCGCAATGCAAGTTGATAATATCTTGCTCCACGCTTGCTGGTCGTATTGCTAACAAATAGTTCAGGCAGTTTCTTCCTCTCCACCCATCCACTTTCCAGATCTCATGAGCGAGTGTCTTGGTCTGCTACAAGACATTACACAGAAGAAACTGACTGGCGCTCGATTCGACCATTACACCGATCAAATCCAACGCCATGGCGGTGTTTCTAGCGTGGCTAAGGATTTGATCAACATGGTGCGGCCAGAGCTTAGAGAACTCAAGGGAAAGTCCATCACGGCTCAAGTAATACTGAAGTTGCTATCAAGTCAATCCGACCCTTGGCCCGTATCAGGGGGTTACGCCAGTGTCGTGACTGACGGCCGCTCTGAGCATTATTTCCGCGTGTATGTAGGGCAATCCTGGGCGCTTGAAAACCGGATCAAAGATCATCGGGAGGCTATTCTGGATTATTCCTACTCTACACTGCACTACTATTCTCTTTGGCTCGGTAATGGAAATCGGACACAAAGATTCATGCTCCTTTGGTCTGCCCAACCTGGGACTGAACCGGATGACTGGATGAAATCTGTTTCAATCTTCTTGAAGCACTGTTCTGTCGGGCTTTTGCTTCACACCATGGTTCTTTGTCAGCCGAGACGAGTGAGGCAAGCGACGGAAGCACTGATACTTTCGGTCCGTTAGGTTGGGGTCTGAACATTGCGTCCCCTCTGCGGCAGGGGCTCACATATGCGCAGAAAGAGAGGCTGATTGACACAGAGCGACTGAGACTGTCCAGTGATCCTCAGATCGCCTATTGGCCAACGTTTCGTACGGAACAGCGGAATGCGAACAGTCTTAATATTGATTACTCGTTATTACGCAGAGATGACTACGTTTCTGCTTTTGAGAAGGCCGTCGGGAGCGACGTCATCACCACAATGCCCCTGTATACCAAACTCAAAAACTCTACACCGTGTCTTCCAAGCAATCATCAGGTGGATTCAGATATCCAGTTTTTTTGGCACTCTGGGATCATCAATTGCTTTCGTGCTTGGCCCTGGATGGTATGCTGGCAGCTATATATCAGACTTTGCGGACGACTCATCACCAGACCTACCTTCGGTATTGCGATATTCGGGGTTCAATAAGAAGAATGTCCTTGTCTGGACCCATGACCTGAGGCCGTTTTCTGACCTGACTGCTACGAGCAACGATAATGTGACAGAAGAGATCAGGCTGAAACATGATCAAATCATCAACGCAAGCAGTGCAAGGGTGATTCTCATGTGCGGCTCCCTTGCAGAGAAAGCCGTTTTGAAAAACAGACGCATCCACCGTACAGCAAAACTGGAAATTAGGGGCCACCGCTACCACCTCTTCTTGGAGACCAGCGAAGCTAACAAGGCAAGAATCTTCATCCGTTGTCCCAATCTCCCAACCGGGAATTATCACCGTGATGGCAAAGAGGCTTCGGTCGTGAGCGAGATCATTAAATGCTGTGCCATTGTTACTCGAACGGACTCTCTCACCCCCTACTTCTTGCAGAACAGCACAGTCCGAAGTGTAATCTTTAGACAACAAAACCTAGAGAAGCAAGGGCATCCGCGGATGACCACCGAAAATCTTGATCCCGGTATCCGGATCTGGCTTGCAAGAAAGGGCTTTGGTGCAATTGAAGACATCGACAAGCTGGAGAGACTTGCCGGTTGTCTGACATATGGGCTAATTCTCTTGTTTTCATGTCTCCCTCGAAAGCCGCGAGGAACTAGTGTCACATCAGCCGGCCAACTAAATGATCACAGGCGGAGAGAGGACATATCTCGCGAAACCGTCAAAGATACCAAAGCACACTGCCATGATGTCATTGCAAGGTCAAAAGAAATGTTTCAGGAAGGAACTGCCAGGGAAGAACTACCACGATTGAAAACGCAAGTTTATACCGATAAGACGGCTTGCCCTGGTGATAAGGAGGACACCAGCCAACAGAATACCCCCGTTGCTCTCCAGCATGATCACCCACTCACCAAGGCAGTGGAAATGCTCTATCACAAGCTAGATAACTCGCCTGAGCTCGAGGATGAGTCGGAACTGTCTTTCCCGCCTGAATTATACCGAGAAATAGAGAAGCAAGTGGCGTCGAAAGAGATTACAGATGATTCGGTCGATGACATAGACGACGACATGTCCTTCGGAAATGATGGCATCCCCACTTCTGCCGATGAAGCGGCCGAAACAGCTACTCAAAGAACTTCCAATAGACAGTATTCAGCGAAGCCGGGGTCGAGAAGGCAGACCAAATTCTCGACGACCCCAAAGGCTTGGAGAGATGAAGGCCCTCATTTCCGCGGAAAGGTTTACATCCATGAAGTACCTCCGACTCGGGCAGAGGGTAATGTGAGACAAATCGCGATATGGGACCTTCAATTGACAATCCCCAACGACCTTGACATTAGAGATGGCATGGTCGGTGTTTCAATCGAGACTTGCGCTGAGGGTTTACTACACCCAGATAGATGGGCGACTGCTGCTACGGAACAGGATATAGGTGGTTGCTTGAGCTTTCGCATAACCGGAAAAGATACCAAGGGGAAAAGATTTGCTCACATACCCAGATCTAAGGGTGAGAACGCGGTTTTCCGTGCCAATTCCTTCATAGATATCCTCTTGCACCAGGCGAGCGACTACGAGCTCGTTGATCGTGAACGCCGACATGTGACAAGTAAGGCAAAAGAGAGGACACGGAAAAGAAAATACGCCATAGAGGGCGAGTAGAGAGAAGGCCAGAAAACATGCAGTACTCAATCTGGTAGATCTTAGTGGCTTAAAAACATAGAATCAGAATTGACAGAATTGGCGGAAGTATAAGGCAGGTCTGATATGATCCGTAACTGTTCTTTGTTGGTGATCCCTTGACTGGTTATGAAAGAAGGCTTGGAATAACTACGGGACAAGTAAGATGCGTCGAAGGAGCTTGTTGACCAACAGGCAAAGAAAACATAGGCGGAGAAGCGGTAGGGTACCCATGTAGTGCCAGGTGGGTCTCCAATTTCCGGCAAAATGTATAATGATTGGCCCTGGTGCCGGTGGGCATGTGCAAGTGCTCGACAAAAAAAGCGGACCACTGATCTTCCCGAAACACAGCTAGGTCGGAAGCGGACCAATTTTAGTTTTGAGCGCTTTAACATGTAAGCAAGGATTCTTAGGCTGGTTTAAGATTTCAATCTCCAACGAGTTGCACGGGCAAGATGGCCGAGTGGTTAAGGCGGTAGGTTCAAGAAATCGCCCCCTGGGCCTTCTCTTAGCCTTCAAAGAAGGTTAGTATTCTACTGGAGAAATCCGCGTGGGTTCGAATCCCACTCTTGTCAATAGTATAATTTTTTCTTGTATATATTTTATTTTTCAGGAACTTTAGTATTTACTTATTTTTATTAATTATTCCTTTTTTTTATTAAAAATGTTAATAAATTAGTTTATAAAAGGAAGTTTTTTATAAAAAAAAATACTTATTATAATAATGTTAAGCTTTAGCTATTGTAGGTATTAACCGTTTTGACCCCCTTTTGCACCACCCCTCTATTTGCACCATTTTTACACCAAAACTTAGTAACTTTAAAAATATTTAATTAATTTAAAATATATATATATAAATTTTGTTTTTTTTATATAAATAGATTTTTAACAAGGAAAAAATAAAAAAATAGTTTTTTTCTTATTAACTAGTTTTTTAATATAGAAATTTATTATAAAAATAGCTATAACATTTTTACTAATAAATTGTATATAAAATTGTTAGTATAAATTTTCAAAATTAAAAATTAAATAAAATAGTTAAAATCTTAATTTTGGTTTATTTTAATAAAAAAAAATTTAATATATTTTATATTTAATAATATATTTTAATAATTAATATTATAATTTAATTATCTTAAAATTAAAATTTATTAAAATTAAATTTAATTAAATTAAAGATAAAAAATTTAAAAAAATAATTATTAATAAATAGCTTTTATTTTATAATTAGTTTTATTTTTTATTATTTTTTATAATTAATTTTAACTTTATATCTATTTTATTTAATTTTTTTATATTTTTATAATTTGTATGTAAATTTTTATTTTTTATTTTATTATATAATTTCTTAATTAATAATTAGATTTTTTTTATTAAAAACCTAGTAATAGTAAATTATAGCATTTTTATTTATAAAACTCAAAATTAAAAAAATTTAGCTATTTTATTTATTTTTCTATCGCTATTTGAAATATATAAGTTTTTGGTGTACTCCACGGTGCAAATGGGGGGGTGGTGCAAAAGGGGGTCAAAGCGGTTAGTACTTTAGGTTAATTGGGGAATCTGTTTCCAAAGCTGATACTGGAGTTTGCATGTTGAGAAAACTCTCCGATTTACGTTTACTGCAGATAATCACCCAATTACAACGGCACAAACTAACGGTCAAACAATGGTCGTTGGATCCGCATTCCATCGTCTCGATACAAACATGGCTCATGGACAGGCGTCACTTTGGCTTTGTATCTAAATACGAACAGCCTTCAAGAATGGATAGGGAAATAGGCCCCAAGAAGTGCCTCAGTTTGATGCATGCAGACCTGCCACAATTGAAGACCCTATTCACGATAGCGACATGCACATGTCCTTAGGTTTGGGCGACATGATAGCGGTGCAATGACAATTTATTGACTGCTACAGCAGAGGCATCCCGCGGACAAGACAATGCACGAATATCAATAACCCCAAAACGCCACGGCGATCCACGTCATTCCCAGGATGGGAGAATGGGCGTATGTCTCTATCGTCGTATCTTTCGTTCGTCTATTCGTAACTGCGTCGGTCGGATGGGTGTCCCTGTTTATTTCTTGCCACTCTTCTTGATGCCACCTGAAGTTAAGGGGCCCTTTCCTGCGGCCTTTTGAGCCATCTCAGCGCGGGCTTTGGCATCTGCAGTTTGTGTAAGCAGACAGCTATTGAACATGGGAGAAATACGAGGGTGTTTGTGTCTTCACGTACCAGCCTTTTGCTTCTCACGGAAGGCGACATCATCGTCATCAACCTCCTTGGTTTGCTTCTTGGGAGCCTTGAGGGGCTTGGCCTTGCCGCCTAGACGAAGAGTCAGAGAGTCGTTTTTCGATATGGGTGGCGGGGTTTTAGTTCCGTACCGTCTCGGTTTTGACCACCCATTTTTGTTGGTGTTTGTTTGGCTTGTGGTAGAACGGGTAAATTCTTTCCTCAGGGCCGATGGTGAAGAACCGCTGTTCTTTTCTTTATGGGATCAGGAAAACGTCAAAACAAAAAGATCAGGCGAAAGTGAGAACAAATGCAGTCCCGCGAGTGGCGGGGCAGGTCAAGTCCAGTTCCGCTGCAGGGTCCTGTTCCGACAGGTGGCGCTGGTTCGAGACAGGTGCCAGCGGGCTGCCGAGTGGGATCAAGAATGTATCTTATCTTATCTTTTCATTGCCCGGTACCGCATGATTGGTTAGGCTGTTGCGACCGGACGGAGGTCTTTAGGCACTTGCATTATCAATAATAACTTGCGCAAGGCTCACAAAACCTTGTCTCCGTCGTTACTGCCCACTCGGACCGGCGACATCCTTTTGTTTGATCTCCCTCCTCCATCATCTTTTTCCACAAACACAAAACACCATAATCATCCTAATTTCATCGCTACCTAGTGTTTCACACCTATCACGTCATCCCGCGACGCCCGTAATACTTTGCTCTCTCGTAATGCGATCGAGGTGAATGAGACGTGACGCTTGCCGGTTCGACCCAACTTCCTGCCTCTTGACTCTTCCCAAGTTGCCCAAGCTGACACTGCATCTCCTGTCTTGAAGACCGAGACATCGGACTGCATCCGTGCATTTATTTATCCATTCATCCGTGATTAAGAAGAACAAAGTGAGCAAGCATATATAACATGGCGTCGCCGTTAAGTTCCGACGAGGGCGAGATTGTGGAGAACGGCGTTGAGGACTCGAAGGCAACTTCACTGCCACATGTTGATGGACATGGTGTTGACCGTAGCGACAGACCTCGAGCGAATCAAGAACGCTCACCTGGGGATTCGAGACATTATGAACCATCGAGACGAAGCCGCTCGCCGCGTGGCCAGAAACGAAACAGAGATGATCGTGACTCTCATCGCGGCGCTCGCCTAGACCCGGACTCTCGCCGCTTCCGTGCGCGCTACGATGATGCCCGTGATTCCCGCCGCCTCTCTCGGGTGTCCTACGAGGATGAGGACCGCCCTCCCTCCCGCTCTTCCGCTATAGGCTTGCATTACGACGATAGGGACCGTTCACATGCGCGCGACCGACCGAGAGACCGTAGGCGCGATCGAACTCCAGATCGTGATCGCTATCCTGACAAGCGATCCCGAAACCGGACACGATCGCCCTATCGTCCTCCTCGCGGAGATCGCGATCGAGATCGAGATGATTACTCGAGACGAGACAATGACCGAACGCATCAAAGGCGAGACCGAGACCGTAATGAGACCACGAGATCAGCTCACCAAAGGAACGGCCGACAGCCGACTCCAAATCGCGAGCTTGTCTCAAGACAAAAGCCCACAGGCAATAGCCCAACTGCTACTAAGTCGAGTATAGCATCTGCTAATGGAAATTCCGAAGAGACGTCGGCAAATCACGCAGAGCCTCCTGCTCCTGCAGAGGAGATAGAGGAAGAGCAGCCTATCGATGTTGAGGCCGAGATAGAGCGCCGTCGCCGACGTCGTCAGGAGCTACTTGCCAAGTCACGTGCCGCAACGCCGATGCTGGTTCAGGCCCTGCAGTCTTCAGAAAAAGTGAATGGCTCATCCCCTAATCCAACACGAAAAAGCACTCCAGTGCTTACAGAATCAAATACGCCGCAGTCAGGTCGGTATATCCTTTTTTCCCCAGGTAATTGTCTCATTGCTAACTTGCTCGGCAGTTGCTTCATCACCCCGGTCGCCCGGTTTGCAAGAGGGTCTTTCGCCTGCTCCCATCGAGATTGCTAATGATCAAGACTTGATAAATACTCACGGGGATTCAAGGAATAATGACGAAGATGGCCCCTCGGCGGCTGATTATGATCCCACAGTTGATATGAGAGAAGATGAGCTGAGGGACGAGCGCCGCAACGGCCATATTGGTCCTCACGGCGATGTTCTTCATCCTGAACAGAAGGCTGAAATTGCTCAAGCCACAGAAGAGCCAGCCCCGAAGAAGCCAGCAGCCCCTGACGACGACGATGATTTCGACATGTTTGCGGAAGAATTCGACGAAAACAAATTTGTCGCCCCTAAAATAGCCCACGTCGATATTTCTGCAGATGATCGGAAAGTACCTGCTTCGCTGGCACAACCTCAAGGAAACCACATCTTGGAAGGTGATGACAAAGATGGGTACTACAAGATCCGCATTGGCGAGATAATGAATGGTCGTTACCAGGTCCAATCTGCTCTGGGCAAGGGCATGTTCTCGGGAGTCGTTCGAGCGGTGGACATCACTAACAAAAAACTCGTGGCTATCAAAATGATGCGAAACAACGATGCACTCAGGAAAGGAGGTTTCACGGAAATTGCGATTCTGCAAAAGCTGAACGATGCCGATCCTGACAACCGCAAGCATATTGTGAAGTTTGAGCGTCACTTTGAGCATAAAGGACATCTTTGCATGGCATTCGAAAATCTCAGTCTCAATCTGAGGGAGGTGCTGAAGAAATTTGGGAACAACATTGGTATCAACATCAGTGCGACTCGAGCATATGCCCACCAAATCTTTGTTGCCTTGGCTCACTTTCGCAAGTGCAGTATCATACATGCTGATCTGAAACCGGACAATATACTGGTAAGCCCTCACTGTACACCTCATCCAAACGACAGCAACTGACATTTGATTAGGTCAATGAGAATCGCAACATCCTCAAAATTTGCGATTTAGGTACAGCTATTGATCGATCAGATGCAGCAACTGCACACACAGAGATTACACCTTATCTAGTCAGTCGATTCTACCGAGCTCCAGAAATCATACTTGGGATGCCGTACGACTACGCTGTCGACATGTGGTCCATCGGTTGCACTTTGTATGAGCTATACACAGGAAAGATACTGTTTGCTGGCGATAGCAATAATCAGATGCTGAAGGCCATCATGGAGATTCGAGGCAAAATGAGTGCCAAATTGCACAAACGTGGTGAATTGTCTCATTTGCATTTCGACGAGATGGGTAATTTTGTCAGCGTTGAGCGCGACAAGACACTTGGAAAGGTAAGCCTCCCCCTTTTCTCTTCACATTTCTTGAACCCTCCTCACTAACTCAACTTTACTTTAGACAACACTACGGACTCTTGCCATAGTCAAACC